CACTGAATACAGCATTTATTGCCTCCAGAAACCCCGCCCCTTTACCAAAATGGCCATGCATAGCCTCTAGAAAGCTTTCAGAGTGCTCCTAGGGGCTGGGGAGGGCAGAAATGAGTGAAAAATGGGGCATTTTTTGCTCAAATTTGTCCCCCTCAGCCCCCAGGAGCACTCTATAAGCCTCCTAAAGGCGGTACATGCTATTTTTGGGGGGGGGAAGGCCCATTTTTGTAAAAAACGGGACATTTTTTTGAGGTCTGCAGAGTGCAAAAAAAAATTTTTTTAATTTGCCTCTTCAAAATCTTGGTGCATCTTATACTCCGGTGCGTCTTATACTCTGAAAAATACGGTACTTACTTATTGTATAACCAACTTCTTAACCGTCCATCTCTTTCATAGAGAAGCTCTCGGCAATATACAGTTTAATCATTATAATAAAGTATTAGAAACCAAATAATTTAAGGTTTTGACTCCAAAGTGGCATTGCTCCATCTGACATTTTCTTTCTTTTTAAGAATCTTCTTTCCAGGCAGTGGTTCTTTTTTTCCCCTCCAGATCTTAGAAGGTTCAGCCACTTTCTCCCTTCTGCATTATTTTGAATTCTTTGATGATCAAATGAATTTTCTTGTTGACCTTTCTAGGCAGAAGCCCTTTTTGGAGACAAAAGATTATTAAGAACCATGCAAATTAGATTCTTAGAGCACAGGTGCACAAGAAGCAATAAGGAGTGTTTTGTGCTGACCACAGGAAGTAAAGAGAAAACAAAAGAAAACTAGTAGTAATCTTATTAAGAGAAGCTTTACAATGTAATGAGCAAACTGTAGAGTTTCCAAACCCAGTGTCTGTATTTGTGTGTGTGTGTGTGTGTGTGTGAGTGTGTGTGTGTGTGTGTGTGTGTGAGAGAGAGAGAGAGAGAAAGAAAGAAAGAAAGAGAGACAGTGTGTCTGTGAGAGAGTCATGTGCAAATTACATAGACAGGAGGTAACATGTCTGTGAGAATAATCTCCAGATGATACCATAGTTCCAGAGGTGGCACGCAGAGCTTTATCTATGGGCATGCCCACCGTCATCAGCTGCTCTTCGGGTTTCTGCCATGCATATGCGCACCGGGTATTTGGTCTTCGCGCACCCTGGAGCGCCGGAAACCAGAAGACCAGGTGCACACATGCGCACCTGCCACCTGGTCTTCTGGTTTCTAGTGCTCTGGAGCGTGCAAGTGCATGCGTTCCGGTTTGGGCACTCGGTGCCGAAAAGGTTCTTCATCTCTACCATAGTTCATTCTTCCAGTTTCCGGAAACATGATATATACCATGGTGGGCTGACGATTTGCTTCCAGGCCCAATTCAAGGTGCTGGTTGTCACTTTTAAAACCTTACATGCCCTGGACCAGGTCATTTGAAGGACAATTTTTTCCAGTCATATCTACTCAGAAGGGAATATTATGGGTCCCTTCTCTTAAGGAGGTCCATCTAGCGAGAGCAAGAAGGGAGGACCTTGGCTCCCTTCCTGTTGTAACATCATCCCTGAAGATATAAGATCGACCCCAACTTTGACACTTTCTTGAAAGGAGCTGAAGTTCAGCCAACAGGCTTGGGAGACCCTAGAGTGTTATGAAGCCCATGAAATGTTTGTCCTGATTGTTGTTTCCAAAGGTGTGGTGGAGGTTTGTTGGCTTCTATATTGAGGTTTTATTTTTGTAAGCAGCAGGGAGTTTCTGTAAATAAGCTGGGCAGCCTTATAAATTTTCTTATAAATAAACCAATACCCATGTTGGAAACATGCAGCATCTCTCTTCTGATTTCCAAGGGCACTGCCCATAACATCTTGAAGATTTGTGGCTTAGAGAACAATTTGGTTCTGTAGTTATCACATCCTCAAACCTGCTGAATAGGCTGAGCAGAATTGATGGTTTTGCTCTGTATCGCCCTACAACCCCTTTAATTGAATGTTGGTTCCACTGTGCAGGTGGCAGTGTCCAGGTGAATTCTCCTTACCTTTATTGATGCAATAGTTGCTGAGTATTTACCTGCATCAGCCTAATTTAGGGAAGGTATGACCTCACCAGTAAACAAGGAAACAGAGGACAAAGGTTGGGGGAAGCTGTTCTATCATACAGGTGATGAATTCCTCAGTAAAACTATTGTGTCTTAATCTGGGTATTTTTCAGCTTCACAGAGTCTGCTGATCAAATCATTTTTAATAATATGTCCATGGAGATTCTCAGTCATCCAGGTCATGGTTGTCCCAAAGGTGCTTTCTCAAGACGTTCTGTTTTTTCTTTTCGGAAACAGAATTAGTTATTTATTTTTTCTTTGAAGACATTTCACTTCTCATTCAAGAAGCTTCCTCAGCTCCGACTGGATGGTGGGGAATGAAAATATGGTATACCATGGTGGAATGGAATGGAAACATAATGTACCATATTTAATAATAGCTGCACAATTTAATTTTCTTTCAGGGGTTGTTACTTAGCTAATTGCCTCTGCTTTTTCCTCTTCTCCTCCTTCACAGCTTTGACTGAAGGTTATGATGGCCCCCTGCATGAAAGTCGACACGGCAGTTTGGTGCAGATCCGGAGGCGGAAGGCATCTGGAGATCTTTACTGGGCATATTCAGGTGAGTTGGGCTGGACAAGAAGAATACTTCAAGTGAAAAGAACTGGGATAGCTTTGTGGGTACTGTAGCTCATTAATTGTGAAATGTTTGCTTGATGGAAAATAACACTTGCTATCTTGAGGGCCAATGTTGCTATTAGTTAGCATGAAACATTACCTTACGCAGCTGGTTTTGAATATCCTGAAAGACCAGCCAGTGATTAACTTAGTCTATTTTGTTGTTATTGTTATTGCATTGGAGCTGTTTGGGACATGAAGACTTGTGAGATTTTGAATCTCTGGAACAAACACAACTTGGTGTTGTAGCCCGCCAGCGGCCAGCGCAACTGGCAGCAGATTTGGACAGTGAGGAGGTTGGGGAGGAACATGGGCCAGTCCTGGAGTCTGGTGAAGGCTCTGATGAGGGATCTGTGTCGGAGGCAGAGAGGGGGCCAGGGTCATTTTACAGTTATCAGCTGCCTTTGGAGTTAGACATCAGTGAGGCAGATGAACAGCTGGAGCCTGTTTCCAGTCTGCACATACACAGAGTTCCCAGACGAAGGGAACAGCTAAGGAACAAGGGTTGACTAGGGAGAAAGGCCGCAGGTGGACAGTGAATGGCCCCTCCCATAGGGAATAAAAGAGGAGCGAAAGGGGAGTGGGCTTTTGCAGGAGACAATCAGTTCATTCCTGCATTCTTGCCAGGTATTGGGGCGCCTGAAAGATATCGGCCTGGCCGCTCTCCAAGCCTGATAAAGGTCGGTAATTGTGTACTATCTTGAAACACTGAGGGAGAGAAAAGACTTTGCTGGAGAGGAATTCACTGTAAATTAAATAAAAGGGGTTTATCGGGACGAGGACTGGGCTTCATGCTCCTGGGGAAGCCTAGGTCAGAACACTTGGTTAGCCTTAGATACCATGAACCTTGATTGACTTGAATGTGCACACAGATAACATTTGGTGTTACCTCTCAGGCACAGCGGTGTCCAGGAGGGGGGCACAGAGGCATGATGATGGACACAACTACATGGTCAAAGTTCTCTCCCCTTTATTATATGAGGTGCGCTTGCACCTCATATAATAAAGGGAGTGGGGCTTCCATCTGTGGATGCCAATACCCAAGCCACAAAATGTCCTGGACTGTGTAGTTTTCATGTTGATTTGATGGCTGCCATTTCTGGGACCACAGAGAAAAGTGACACTTGCCTTGGAATTTAAACAAATGAAATTCAGCTGCCTAAAACATTGTATTTCACTTCAATAGTATTGCTGAAAGTCTTACTGGGAATGGCTCATTTTTGGTATTGCTTCTCAGATTATTTTCCCACTTCTGCTGATTTATATAATAGTTTAAAAATGTTGCATTTTGACATTTGCCGTTTTTTTTTGTCAGCGTGGCATATCTTGATTGTACTTTTGAAGGTCCTTGCCCTTTACTCTCCACGGTTTATACTTAAGACGATTATACTGTGTGAAAAGAGAATATTCTTTGTCTCTAATGGATTTCAAGTTCAGAGTGCCTTAGCCCGAGCTTTTTATCAACCAGTCTCTTTTTTCCCCATCATGCTTATTATATTGCTGTCATTGTTATCCCCAACTATGGCCCTTTCAGGCCATTATCCTTACAATGGACTTGTGGTTGTGATTATTTGTAATGAAAAACTGGTTGAAAGCTTTAGAAACAAATGAATGAAACCAATAGTCCTTTGCTTCCATTTTTTAGTCCCAGGTAACTTCTGTATTATTTATCCTTCCAGGTTCCAGACATTAAATGTATTATTATGTGTTAACTATGCACTTTTGGCACTGCCAGAAACTATATCAGGAATAAATGCCTAGGGAGATTCTCACTGCTCCAGGTCATAGTTGTTTCCAAAGTGCTCTATTTTAAAAAAAGAAAGAAAGGCAACTGGATTTTTTTTTTTTTTGAGAAATATGTCTCACTTCTAGTCTAAGAAGCTTCATCAGTTGTGATCTGTGTCCCCACCACCACCACCATATGGTTACAACTGATGATTCTTAGAGGAGAAGCAAAACATCTTCTTCCTCAAAAACCAGTCCAGCTGCCTTTTTAAATAAAAGTGTGTGATGTAGAACAAAATGAATTCGGTGTAGCATTAGCTGGATTTTTACTTCAGGTACCAAAATGTCTTCAGCAAGCTATGCAAACAAGAAAGCAACAATCAA